CGCCCCCCCACAGATGGTCCAATTGTTTCCCCTCTCTGTGTGACTCCAGAGAAGCATTCACCTCATAAATCCATGCAGAAATCCACGCCAGCTGATCAGAAAATGTTCAAATATGATAAGCAGATAAGCCAGGGCAGAAAAACGGGTTATTGTTCCAACCCATTTCTCAAATTCTTATGAAGAATAAAGAATAAAGACATTTATAGCAATTGACGTCATGAAGAAGTGACCATTATTTACAATATATAGAATTTATATGGCGCATTTCCACTACAGCGCGGAGCGTGGTTTAAGCGTGCCGTGCCCGGCCTGTTTTTGGTTGCGTTTCCACTAGGCGTTGTTCCGGCTAGCGGGTACTTTTTCACCGTTTTCTGGCTCTCCAAAATCAAGGTTCTTTCCGGGCCAACAACCGGGCTGAGTATGCTAAACTAGTGAGAGAATCGCTGGCAAGGGGGCTACAACTACAACAAGATGAACATATTTGACCGTGATTTAGTTGTAATACACGTTTCAAAATGATGCCGAAGTAACACCATACTGATACCGGTTAGTAAAAACCATGAATTAATGCTTTGACAAGTCTGCAGACAGACAGCAGGCGAAAAACCTTTTAAAATGCGTGTTTTCTGAGTGGAGATCGGCTAAGCTAACGCAGTATGCTCCGACCGTCCACACTCACAACAACGGCCTATACAGACATAAATAAACCAGCGACTGTATTCACCATGACACAGACAGTCTGTGGTTTGTACTTGTTTAACTGTTGTCTAGTTTCTGAACAGATATGAGGAGCTGTGAGCTCTGAGGGCTAGCAGCTAATGGCTGATGTTGGTTTTGTGTTTCTCATTGAAGATGTCGTCACGGCTCCGCCTACACTGCGTTACTATAGTTACTGCCCCAACTACTAAACTGTAATGGAAACGCAGCATAAAGTGAGCCTGGCCTAACAAGGCCTAACTATACCGTACTAAGCCGTGCGAGGCCCTGCAGTTGACATTTTCATTTCATCGTTTATTTGAATAGGGACAATGCACATTAATGAACACTTTAGACAGATAATGCTTCAAGTGTAAATATGCCGGATTTCAGCTTTGAGCTAATTTCCATCCGTAGTCCCTGACATACAACATATAAGAACATGACACTTGTAAACATAGCAAAAAATAAATACATGATATGCAAAAGAGCAAGAGCAGCATACACAAGTATTTGCCACATGGCAGTACCCTATAGCAGCAACAACATATTAAGTGCAAGAGACGATATAAGAGATGCATAAAGTGCCAGAGGAGATACCCCTGTGTTAAAGTGCATTTAGCGGTGATTACACGTCTGGTTGTTTCTCAACCATTCTTTGAGTTGATCTTTAAAACTATTGAGAGTGGGACAAACCCATATCTCAGTTGGGAGGCTATTCCACAATGAGCTGCCTTTAATGGAGAGGACATTTTGTCCAAAAGTGGTCCGTCTACGGTGTGCCAATACATCTCTGAAAAGCTCATTTAGATGTTGTTTTAGTCAATGTCTGCTAAAATAATGACTGTTTTCTGTGTGGGTTACTGAATGAGGTAGCTAACGCAGGTGTTTGGAAATTCCCACCCCATAAAAAACGAATTGACGTCTCATACCCTGTACTGTATAAGGTAAGAAGCTACTTTCCTTACATCTCGATAATTATAATAATTCAGGGAACATTCAGTATATACAGGAGTTAAACACACACTCATTCAACACATTGTCTGTGTTTAACAGCTCCCCAAATCTTAGCATATGGTTTATGTCTCAGGTTCAAAGGTTATCCAAACATGAGCCCTTCTGTACATGGAAAATAACCCAGAACATTTACATGACATATTCCTGTGGGAAAACACGTGATAAAGACGGTTTCATGTAACAAAGTTCACGAGGAACCAATGGAGAAACACTATGGCGGTAATGAAGTCTCCATACTGCAGGATTTATGACGCCACTGGACATGGGCCTCTTGAGCATTTCCTGTTTCAGGGTTTATACTAGGGAGAGAGCTTCTGTACTGTGTGTATCATATGTGTTTACCAATGACGTCTTAGTGTAAATGGACTAGGAAACACTTGACTTAATGTAGGGTATCATTTCCAATACTGATTATTGTACAACTAAATGAGGCCTAACAAAATATTCCACTTGTTAAATGATTATGTGGATTTCAAGTCCGTTCTGATTGCTTTTAACACTTTAATCAACCGTTAAGTCAATTTACTGAAGTGCTGTCCTTAAGTACAATGTGACGTTTAATAAACACAGCAGCATAATAGCAAAACTGTACACTAAAAGTGCAGTAAAACGAGCAATTAAATATCTACAGGAAACATAGACGGTCACATAATTAACTGCAGTATTCCAATTCTACACTATTTTAAACTTCTATTAAACTACATTTAGGAAGCAAATATTGTACATTTACTACACTGCAATTATATGACAGCTTTACTTCTAATTATTATTAGAAAATATTATCGACTAATGAATTATGATGATTAAGATACCTGGAAGCAACTAAAGTTAGCTCCCCCTTTAGCAGCTGTACAATTAAAATGACGAACACATTAATGCATCACTAATTATTTAGTAGTCTAATAAATATATTATTAAAAAAATAGCCATTCTACCTAATAATGGGCTTTTTGAATTGGTATTATTTTGATGCGAATACTTTTGTACTTGGATGCAGTAGTCCTACTTGTAACACAATATTTCTACACAGTAGTATTAACAGAAAGAACCTGTAGCGCTCTGTCCATTGCTGACATACAAAACGCTGCTTACATTTGACACACAATCACAGGAATGGCATGCAGCCGGGGGCACAACGTGAACTCAGGAGCATCATGCGCTTTTCTAAACGACGCCAGAAAGCAACACGACAACAACGACTGCAAACATCACTGCTGGTTCTGCATGTTTGGACCCATTCATTGCACACTTGTACTTTACATTATTGGCAACCATGTTTCTACCTTAAAAAAGGCATTATTAAGTTTAATCCATGTGTTGGAAAAATTCTACTTGCACAGACTAGTTAGAGCATTCATCTGTGTCAAACCTCCCGTCCACTTTTATTAATAAATCAAATCAATATGCACATACAAAACGAAGATGAAAGCAGACATGATCCTAACTGTGATGGATCACTGAAACTCAAAAAGGATGAGCTAAACTGCCCCCAAAAACACCAAACCCACCTGAATGTCTGACAGATTGGTCCGTTGCATTGGGTAATGGGTAATGTTGGCACCAGGCTTTGGTCAAAAAAATGAATACAAAAATACTACAGTATGTCTCGGGTTGTGCTGCATTTTGTCTTTTTCAAGTCTAAAATGTTATAGGTGTGCACAAAGTTAATTATTAGAAGTGAAAATGTGCAATTCAAATATTTTAAACACTATATATGGTTTTAAAGGTCCCCTATTATACTGTTTTTCATCAACATATCACAGGTCTCAGATATATACAGAACATGTCTCTGATTGGCTGAAACACCAAACAGATCATTGTAGCATTACCCATAATCCCCTCTGTTTCAGCCCTGTTTCCAAAGTGCTGATTCTCTGTCTGTTACTTCAGATGAAAATAAGGAGCCCCTCCCCACGCCCCTCTGAGAGATATTTGGTTACAAAGAACTCAATAGGCGCTTTCACACCGCAGTACTTTTCCCTCAAAGGTTCATGAGAACTTAGTTCATCAGAACTCTTTAGTTCTGATGAACTAAATACAGATCGCGTTCAAACTGGAATAAATCCCTGGGGGTGGATTAGGCAAATGAAGCCACTGACGTCACTTCTTCTTCTTCTGCTTTGGGTTTACTGGCAGGCCGCAAACAACTTCACGGCGTATACTGCCGCCCAAAATCCCCGGCCGGAAGTCCCCAGAGTTGGGGACTGGCTTCAGTAGAAGCTGCTGGTACTCCGACACCTCCTCATCTCCACCACTCCCATGTTTTATTTTGTGTTGCCATAAGTTAGTCTCTCTGCGTTTCTGCGCTAGGCTAATGCTAATGCTAATGCTAGGATAATAAAATGGTGGCTTCAAAACACTTTTTTTGTTTTACGGGGCGTGGTTTGCAATCCGCCCAGCCAATCAGAAATATAGCTCCTTTCTCACAAGAGAGCCGCATGAGAGTCCCTAGCAGGGACGGAAAAGGGGGTAAAAAGGTTCTCATGAACTAATTTTAGTTCCGGTTCTTTTTGGTGTGAACGCGACATTTCGGAACTATATCGGAACTAAAGTGGGAAAAGTACTCCGGTGTGAACGCGGCTATTGGTGCTCTAAGGGGAGATGCAGGTGATAAGATGTAACCGAATACAATTTTCTCTTGGGAAAGAAAGAAAAAAATATGAATAAAGATGAGGGTTGTATATCTTTTGTAAGACAAACGTGATTGTGCTTTACTTTCGCTTTCTCGACGGTTTCAAATCAA